AATCTTTTTTTATATACAAAAAAATTAAATTTAAAAATAATAAATCATTTTATCATTTTCCTTAAACTATATATCAATATATTCCTTTTTTTCAAATTTTATACTAATTTGCTTCCATTTAATTATAATTTGACCGATACGGACACCAAATTAAATGACTTATTCAAGTAAACAACTCCTTTACTTGAATAAATATCAATCAAACTTTGTTCAAATGAAGACAAATTGATATATACTTTAAAAAGAGAAACATATTATTATATAATTTAGAAAATAAATAAAATAAAATAAATTAAAAAATAATGTAAAATAATCAATCAGAGCTGTTCAGAATATTTTTTTTTTCTCAAGTAAATGTCTTTGATAACGTCTTAGCAAATTCAAAATGTCCTTCTGATCCTACCTATAATAGAGAAGTATTACTTCAATCATTATTATACAATAGAGAGAGGAGTCGGGAGAAATTAAGATTATTTTATTTCTTTCCTTTGATGCTTTAATCGCGTTCACAGAAATAAGAAAAAAAATGCTCTTTCTGATAAATTAAATGAAAAGCATGAGTTTACCAAAAAAAATAAAAAATGAAAAGCATGAAACTTATATTATAATATTAATATGTTTATGATAATAATTCTTTCAAATCAATTTTTTATTTCAAAATTAAAATTTTAAATAACATAATTATCACCAAATTCATAAATTAAGAATAATACAAATAATCTTAATATATTATGCATTATTTTTCTACAAATAAATTTATTGGTTCAGCTAAAAAAAGTTTATTACCTAAAAAACAACGAGATAACACTGTAAATTTGGCGACCGAGTTGAATTTTAAAAATGAAAATTCGAATCCACGCACAACAATTCAGGTGGAAAATTAAAGATTGAAATGCATGGCTATCAAAGAGATCAGTAGACTTTCCAGAAAGATTATGACGGGCGCCCATAGATTAGCTATAACAAAACAAGGAATAGATTCAAAGAGAATAATAAAAGATGGGAAACTATTGGTGGAAATATACTGTAATCTAATATGGTAAGCCTATGGATAACAGGAGATGTTTTTTAGGGGGCGTTTGGTACACGTGGAATTTATTTATTTTATTAGGAAAATGTAATTATCAGAGATCTGCAGGGAAAGTGAGTTAGGTAAGAAAGTTACAAAAAAGTTATTTGATTGGGCAAAATATTACTGAAAAAATTGGGTGAAATATCCTGAATCTATGTTTGGTTAAGATAAAATATTAATGAAAAATCAGGTTGAAATTACAAAATAACCCTTTACAATATTTTAGTGAGAGTAATTGTTGCCTACTATTGAAGTTTCCATATCTCTGTCTTTGTCTCCGTCTCCGTCTCTCATTCCAATATAAAGTCATCTGGAAACACCATCCATTTCGTGAAAACACTGAGTTAGCACAAGATCTTCTTGCCGATAGGATGAGTGTCTAAGCAAGGTCTAAAAGTTCAACAAAGTTTAAAGCTAAGAAAGTTTTCTTCAAACTGCATTGCACAAAGCAGAATGAAAACAACAAAATCAATAAATGAACTTTTACCAGCTGTACATTTCAGGCACCATTCTTCATTGCAGCATATTTTGTACCTGGCCAAGAACCTTCCTACAAAACCCTTGTGTTCTTCAAGAATACAGTTTCCATCAAAAGCTCATTGCAAGGCCAAAGTTTACAAGAGGGTAGTTTTGGCAGCTATCATGTTAATATTTTTATCATTTACCTGATTATCGTGAAATACCACCTTAGAAGCGGGATTTGAGCACCGTCCATTCCGTCCAATTTTGCATACAACCTTCAATGGCTGGACAAATTGGTTAGATAGAAAAAAAATTTGATATCCTGTACTAAACATGGACAACACACAATCCCAATCTCAGATGCCTAGCTATATTTCAAAAAATCTCCTACCAATCACAACTTGGAGTCTTGCAAAAAACGAGCGTACTAGTTTTTCATTTCAGCTGAATTACTCAAGAATTGAAGCATTTATGTTAATGCATATGCTTGGAATACTGGAATAATTTTATTCTTGTATTTGTTTGAAATCAATAAAATTTATTTGAATTGATTTAAATAGCATTTCTCATGCTTAGAACCATTTCAAAATTAAAATGGTTCATATATCAATTTTGAATAAAATTTACTTTGTTTTAATAATTTTATTTTCATATCCTTGACTATAATAGGTAGCATGAAGATGTAATACTTATTGTATGTAAGTATGAAAATTAATATGTTATGATATTTTCGATATATTTACTGTCATGTTCTTATGATAAGGTTATGTTATATTGAATTGTGTTAAGATGTCGAAATTAAATTGAAATATTGTTTTTTTTAAATCGTGGCCACGTAAGACGATTTCTTAGTTATTAACCCGATAGAGTGTTTTCAAAATAAAATGAATTTTCATAAGAATATTAAATTAATTAATATTGCCCAAGTAAGAATGTTAGATTTTTTCATGTAGGCTTCATTAATTAATTATATTTTAGTTTTTAAAATATTTAAGTTAATAATATTTCAATTTGGTTAGTTATTTGACTGAGCCCATTGTGATTATATTGTATTTTTGGGTAGATGACATCTGATTGGGCCTAGTCGGACAACAATATAGGCTCTAGTGTGACCCTGGTTTCTATGATGGGTGGACACAAATTCATTACTGGGTAATTGGCTAGGTCCCCTCTCTAGCCTATTTATATTGGGGTTATGTTCCATGAGTTATCATGCTCCCATCGTTGAAAGACTGACAATTTCTGAATAGGCGATAGAAAGGAAGACTCAAGCATCTTGTTCTCTTATTTCATGCGGTTCTTTTCTGACTTTGTGACGACCCAACAAAGTACACATAATTATAACTTTGATCTATTGTTATTTGGTATTTTATAATCATATGCATGATTCATTTTTTTAGATTTATCACCTTTACGCTTGACGTATGAATTATGCATAGGCCTATTTTTTTGTTTATCTCGTGTTAATTTTAACTTACTTTTTTAAATTTTATTAGACAACAGAGAGGGTGAAGTTTAAACTTTGGTCAGAAGCTCTAATACCATATAAGACAAACAATTTAACCTAACAACTTAAGCTTCGTAAACAAATAATTTTTTTTAATGGAAGTACGTATAATAGAAGGATCATATAGGAAATAATTTTTTAAATGAATTAGTTGTAAAGTTTTAAAAATGAGAGACTAAAAACAACTAACATCTCTAGATCAAAAACGTATTTAAATTATAAAAGTATAATATAGTTGAAAGCAGAGCTCTACCTATTTACACTCTAGCCAGTAGCCACATATGCATATAGCATGAAAATGAGTTATAATCGATTCTTTACTCTTATGAAGAAACGATCATAAAAAAATAAGTCATTATACTTTTTTTTTACTCTCCTAGTCTTCCTCCATTTGTTCTATTTTCTATTTTTTTAATTTTTTAAAAAGTATACCTTAAAATTTAGGGATGGGGGAGAGAGAAGGAGCCTATGGAGGAGAAATGAAAATTGACCCTGCCCCAACCAAGTTGGTTCATTTCCACACACATACACATGTCCAACAGGAACTCAAGCAAGCAGATTTATATTATTGTCTATTGACTATTGACTATTGGTGATAGGAGGTTGCAGGCCAGCAGTTTAGTGGACAGCCTGCAATTTAAACTTCAAATACCTTACTCTTCATTGTATTCTTGGATGGAAAATATATAAGTGTACGAAAACTTTTTTAGTTTTATCTACTTCTAAAATAGAGGTGTACTAGTTTTTTTTTATTTGTTTACTATTTTTTTTCTTTTTTATTATGAATTTAATTTTGATGCAGTGATAATGTAAACATTTTTTACATTTTTATCTAATAATATATTAACACTTGTTCTCTCATTATGTATGTGTGATGTGAATTGTGAGAGTATACTCTCCATCAATTAAAAAATCAGAATCAATGTAATATTAACGAACTCCACTCATTCACAAAGCAAGGCTACCAAACTTTTTACTTTGAAAAAATAAAAAGTCAGTTAAGCTTTTGAATTGAAGGGAATTATTACAATTATATATATATATGTGTGTGTGTGTGTGTGGGGGTATGAATTGTGCAATATACTCTCTATCAAATAAAAATTTAGTATCAATGTAATATTAACTAACTCCACTCATTAACAAAGCAAGAGTACCAAACTTTTTACTTTGAAAAAAGAAATTGTCAATTAAGATTTAGAATCGAAGGGAATCATTCCAGTACTCATTTTTTCTTTGTACATAAGTTGTTAAATATTGACTCGCTATTGATTACATTTGATAAATGTTTAACAATTAATAAGTGTTTAATATTTTTCAACTGGTTAATTGAATTGTGATTATCACAAAAAGAAAAATGATATTGTATGGTGAATCAAGCGAAAAGTGTGTATCATTTTTAAAGGACATAAAATTGTGTCATTTTAAGAGAAAGAAAAAGATAGATAGATAAGGAATGAGAGAGAGAGTTGACAAAAAAAAAATAAAGATGTGGATCACACCTCCCTCTTTATAAGAGTAAAAGAATATAAGTTGTTTCATTTTAAAGTATAAATATTTTTCCCATAAATCAATCAAAGGAGGACCCTTATCATTTATGAAATCGAGACAAAACAACAAAAGAGGACGGATATAGATATGTTAAAAGGAAAATAAATCTGAAACAGGGAAAGAGTCGAGGCACGATGTCGTTACTGCCATATTTATTAATGTTAGACACGAACTTGTCATCATTCACCATTCACGAAGACGATTCATCTTTAACTTCATTCATTACGATGTAAAAAGTGCATGGAAATTGAAAACTTCTGAACTCTCTTTTTTCTTCTTTTGGTTGAAGGAAGTAGCGTGGAAATTTCTTCTTCTTCTTCTTATTCTTCTTCTTCGTCTCATGCACCTATTTGGCTTACGAGTACAGGAAGAACCCATTGCATTGCAGAGTCTCTCTCTCTGTCTGAATTTATGGGAAAGTCAACGGCATGTTTGGGTGGTGCCATTGTGATCCTGTGCTGCTGCATAAACCATGTCACATCTGATGCAACAGATCATCGTTACACAGAAGGAGATTCCGTACCCTTATATGCCAACAAGGTGGGACCCTTTCACAATCCCAGGTCAGATTTTCAATCTCTGTCACTTCCACTCTCACCTTTTCATTTTTGCTTCAAAACTTTTCAATCCCAATCCTCTTGAAAAGATAAATGAAGATTAAAGGGGGAAAAAAAAAACTTTTTTTTTTTCTTTTGGGTTTGGTTACCATTCAAGAATGAGATTTCCTCTGGAACTTGAGTGCCTTGCCTCTTTCATTCCCAAGTATTGATCTGATTTATATTTAATGAAGATTCAATTACCACTTCATCTTATGGTGTGGGTTTTGAACCTGTCCAAGAATGATAGTACCTGTAAAAGAAATGGGTTGAATTTTGGTTTTCTTTGATTAGTGAAAGCTAGTTGTTTGACTGATGAGCTGTTTGAATTCTACAAGATGGATGAAAGGGAAATGAATGTGACTTAGAAGTTGTGATATTAGTTAATCAACTCAAAATCGGATATTTTAGTTTTCTTTGCTTCAATGTCAATTTCAGAAATTGTAGTCAGTGTTCAATGGAAATTTAGAAAGAATCCAAGTGATCAGGTTGGCAGAGTTGACATTTAAATTGTTTTAATAAGACTTACCTTGACACTCAAGTAATGTTCTAACGTATCCCCTCAGGATATTTACCTCTGCCATTTGATCGCAGACCTTTTCATTTATTGCTTTTATTAAAAGTTTGATTTTTCTATTTTTTTATGGCCAAGAAAAAAAGTGCATTTCTTTTGTGCTGAAAGACTACTGAATTCATAAAATTTGCATTATATAACCATCTAAATGCCTCTATGTAATAAGAATGGAAATTAAAATAGTCTAATGCACTCACTAATTTCTAAACCATTAAGTTATCATGAATTTCTTCCTCACAATAGGCTGACTTTGTTAATTCTTTGTGCTTTCCCTATTTATTTAATTTTTTGTTTATTTTCATACCACAGTGAAACATACCGATATTTTGATCTTCCCTTTTGCTCACCAGGTTAGTTTGCTGTTGTCATTCTTTTTGGTTTTTCCAATTTCTTACTATTGTCTTTGTTTTCCCTATCCCTTGTAATTCCAAAATTTGTTGGTGGCAGCTAATGTGGAAGAAAAGAAAGAAGATCTTGGTGAAGTTTTGAATGGGGATCGATTAGTTGTTGCTCCTTACAAACTGGACTTCCAAATTGATAGAGAACCTGAGAGTATCTGCAGAAAGAGGCTGACAAGAGAAGAGGTTGCTCAATTCAGAGTTGCTGTCTTGAAGGACTATTTTTTCACAATGTACTATGATGACTTGCCCATTTGGGGTTTCCTTGGAAAATTTGACAGTGAAGACAAAGATGACCCAACTGGGGCCAAAGTCTATCTTTTTAAGCATATCCATTTTGAGATCCTATACAATAAGGATCGCATCATTGATGTGTTCATTAGAAACAATCCAAATGCAGTTGTGGACTTGACACAAGATAGAGAAGTAAATGTGGATTTCACATATTCTGTCAAATGGATTCAAACAGATATTCCATTTGCGAAGAGGCTGGAGAAATACTCACAGGCATCCTTACTGTTAAATCACTTGGATATCCATTGGTTTTCTGTTATCAACTCATGTGTGACTGTTATCCTCTTGACTGGATTCCTTACCATAATTCTCATGCGTGTACTTAAGAATGATTTTGTTAAGTAAGAATCATTCTCATTTACTGGTGTCTACTCTCATGAATTTAAACCTTTTAATTCACGGAACTTATTGTATCCACCATTTCAAACAAGACAGGTTTACTCCTGATGAGGAGGCAGTTGATGACATGGAGGAGAGTGGATGGAAGTATATTCATGGTGATGTGTTCAGGTACCCAAGATACAAGTCTTTGTTTGCAGCAGCGCTTGGAACAGGCTCCCAGCTATTTACACTGTGAGTGAGTTACACTCTCAAGTACTTAATTATCTTTTAAAGGGTGTTTCCTGTCTTGGCCTTGTATATTTCATCTATTTTCTGACCATGTATCATTGCTTTTGTTTTCAGTGCAATCTTCATATTTATGCTTTCTCTAGTTGGTGTTTTCTATCCATACAACAGGGGAGCTCTGTTTACTGCACTGATTGTCATATATGCGCTAACGTCTGGCATTGCAGGCTACTCTGCAGTTTCCTTCTATTACATGATTGAAGGAAAAGACTGGGTACTCTCCCATTTCATAGAAAGCATATACCATTGGTGTTCCACTCAAGAACTTTTGTTTTTGACTACTTATCTTAGTTCAGTGTTCACATTATGCATTTCATTGTCTCTAAGTAACCCATGCATTGATTGATTTGAAGTTCTTGCTGAAGTTCCTTTCTCATAGAAGAATATTGTCTAATTTCCTCGCTTTGAAACTTCATAACTCTCCACAGAGATCAAACAGATTCTTGATTTTAAACGTAAAGTATGTTATATGTTTTTATTTACTAGTCAATATTTTGATTGCTGTGCTATAGTTTTCTTCTCCCGGTTGCCTTTTCCTTAAAACAATTGAAAATATACTGCAGAAAGCACAAACCTACCTACATGAATTATACTTTTTGTTGCATGCCAGGTGAAGATTTTGGTGTTGACTGGAAGTCTGTTCTCTGGACCTTTGTTGTTGACATTCTGCTTTCTTAATACTATTGCACTTGCCTATAACTCCACTGCAGCACTGCCATTTGGAACAATTGTGGTTATTTTCCTCATATGGACTCTTGTAACCTCACCTTTACTAGTATTGGGTGGGATTGCTGGTAAGAATAGCCGATCAGAGTTTCAAGCTCCTTGTCGAACCAAAAGTCATCCTAGGGAGATTCCCCAACTACCTTGGTACCGTAGAACTCTTGCTCAAATGGCCATGGCAGGATTTTTGCCGTTCAGTGCTATTTACATTGAGCTCTACTACATATTTTCTAGTCTGTGGGGTCACCAGATTTACACCATATACAGCATTTTGTTCATTGTTTTCATCATGCTCTTGATTGTCACTGCTTTTGTCACTGTGGCATTGACGTACTTTCAGCTTGCTGCTGAGGACCATAAATGGTGGTGGAGGTGAGTATCCTGTAACATCGAGTGATCTCACTTATTTCCTTGTTTATCCATCAGAATTTAGGCTACACATTGATGTATTGTATGTCCCTCCATTCTCTAACCTCTTCATTTTTGGCATAATATTAGGTCTTTTCTTTGTGGCGGATCAACTGGCTTGTTCATATATGGGTACTGCATGTATTACTATCATGCAAGATCAGATATGTTTGGTTTCATGCAAACCTCTTTCTTTTTTGGTTATATGGCTTGCATTTGCTATGGTTTCTTTCTCATGCTTGGAACTGTAGGTTTCCATGCTTCTTTAATATTTGTCCGTCACATGTATCGTTCTATCAAGTGTGAATAGAATAGCCAGAAGCTCACTGGCACCAACAAGACGCTTTCTTTTCCCATTGTTGTAGTGATACAGAAATTTCTCCTCTTATGTCCTCAGTTCTCGTTGCAAATGGTTTACCAAAGAATAGCAGGGGGAAATTGAAAGGGTATGAGGTGCTTTACACAATTGCTGAATCCCAGATTTCTGTCAGTGCTTCAAATTGTCTAATAGAACATGAATGACAGTAGTGTAGCCCACAAAATTCTTTTTCTTGGAAATATTAAAGTGAAGCTTTTTACATCACTTTCGGGTTTCAGATAGCTTTAGGGCTTCCAGCATTGTATTACTCGCATCCCAATTGATGCAAGTGTTCTTTCGGGATTCAATACTATTTTATTTAAATACAAGTATGATCAAAACAATACCCCTTTACCTCGCATAACTTTTGCCTTTTGTTTATCTAATCGTTGGGTGTGGTTTGTTCTCGTTTGGGGAAGGTAAAATCTCTGAGAAAGCGAGCTAAGCAAACTAAGATAAGAAAACTTCAAAACTCATATAAATTTGATTTTACCATTCTTGATGATCCAGATTTAATAATAAGGTAAAAATAATAGATTCTAAACTTTTGGGCCAAAATAATATCAAAACTTTAAACTTTGCATCAATGCATCTACACAGCTACTTGTCCTACTGGAAGCATATTACAATGGCGCATCGGAATACCGCATCAATGTTTAACATGCCAAAGCCATTTCAAAATACAAACATTATCCTCAAATTATGAAGCTACACGGAAACGCAGTAAAATATTTAGTTTCAACTAATCAATGGAAGCATGGTAGTTTAGGACTACATAGAATGATCTTTAGTCTAAAACTTGCAATTACACAGCATGAAATTCAATGCACCGGGAATAAATTTTAGTATACAATATCAATAAATGCTGATATAGATAGCATTCATCAACCTATAACTTATGTCTACCAAGAGACCAGCAATAAAAGGGCAAGTTCCAAGATGCTTTTTTCCGTGAAACAGTTATCCAACATCTGATACAAGCATTCCATGATATCTCTCAATACTTCCACGTAGAACCACCAAGTCTGATAACCTCTTCGCCTCCATTATCCCTTCTAGGAATTCTTTCCGTGCTGGCATCTCCTTTGTTATCACCCAAATCACCATACATATCTTTAAGTTTAGCAAGATTACTAGAAGCAGAATTCTTCTTACTTCCATCTCTCTGTGGACTAGAATGTTTTTCCAACCGAGTAGTGCCAGCTTGCAGACTCTGACTTCTGCTCCTGCTCCTACTTCTACTCCGACTCCTGCTACGATAGTGCCTATTACCATTGCCACTGCTGTTGTCATAATCACGGCTGCTTTCTCTCTGGGGGTATCTAGACCTCCTATCATGATCATAACTCCGCTCCCTCTCTCTTTCCCGATCCTTATCCCTCCTGATTCTGTCCTTCTCTTGATCTCTATCTCGATCTCGATCTCGATCCCTGTACCTTTCACGGTCTCGTTCTCTGTCCCAATCTCTGCTCCTATCTCGATCATGATATCTGTCCTTTTCATGGTCCCGATCCCTGTCCCTTTCACGGTCCCGATCCCTGTCCCTGGACCGTGACCGGGCTCGATCCCTATCCCTATCCCTATCAGGATATTCTCGACTCTGGCTGCGTCGACTATTTGGAGATCTTCTTGTGTCATCACCACCATCTCTTTCATGAGGAGGAGGAGGAGGTAAAGTACGGCGAATAGGTGAAGAGTCCCTTGTGGAGGCACGATGTGGAGCCCTCTGACCAAAAGAGACTGAAAGGGCAGCTTTCACAGAAGGAGGTCTACGAGCAGTGTCATCAGATCCATGACGGGTGGATTCCCCAGTTGAACCAGAATGTGTAGTGGGAAGATTCAACTTTCCAAGATTAGACACAACCTGCCGCAATACAGGAACAGGGACGCGAGGAAAGAGTGTGTCGAAGTAATACTGCAATAGCAGAACAGACTCATCAATGTGCTTCCATAAAGTAGAGTTACATTATCTGGAATTAAAGGGGTAAAATAAAATTTGGGAATTGCAGCATTCAAGCCTGTCAATGAAGGCATATTGTGTACCACGCACAAAGTACCCAAAATCAAACAAATAGATCACAAAAATGACAACGACCATGAAGAGGTACCCATTTAACACAGTAAGCATTGATATAAATACTAACTATTCACGAAAATAGAAGGAATAGAAGTACAAGATTGTACTCCCGTGCTGAAATAGGTTGGACAACAAAGAAACAGTCTGAAGTTCTGAACCATAATTCACAAGAAAAACAAAGAATAAAAAAAATAAGCAAAAACAATTAAGAATCCAATCTGCACATATGATAACTGTTAGAATATTAGATATGATATGATTAGATATGATTGGATTCTGTCTTATCCGTAAATATTCTGACTGTATTCTGACTGTATTAGGATTAGGTTTGGGCCTTTCACTTAAGCCCATTAGGGTCTCTATATATTGTAACTCTCTGACACATATCAATACACAACATATTATTCTTCTATTATTTTATATTCAAGTTGGTATCAGAGCTCTTTCGTTCTGGGAACCCTCGCTTCCGCTTAGAAACCTTGTTTTTTGCTTTAAAACCTAAGCCCACTGCTTAGGAGTCCTCTTTCTTGCCGTGCGTCCTTCCGGCAAGCCTTCTAGGGCTGTAAACAGCCTCTGAGTGATTTTCCAAACGCGTCAGCACCTCCGACGGCCACCGGAACCACCGCCCGCCGTCAGAATCACTGTTCAGGCAACCAGAGACTTTTTCCGGCGACTTTTCCGACCAAACTTCACGCGATCAGGACCCTCTCTTCCCGGCGACCAGGTCTGTGGTGGTCCGGTCAGCAACGCATCTCCCACGCGCCGTCACGCGCCACCTGTCTTCTCTGCACGTGGGCTTCACGCGCCACCTTCTGCCGGCGCGAGCACTATTCCGGCGGCTTTTTTCGGCCGGTCTTGGACAGAGAAGCTCGCCTTCTCCTCCCCTTTCTGGATCTGTGATTGTTTCTCTGTGGGTCTGACCTTAGACGCATGGTTCTTCTTGATTGGATATCGTTTGCCTTCGTTTACGGCTTTTATATTTTATCTTTAAATGGCAGCAGCATCTCCTGATCTCTCGGAGGTTAACTCTCCTATTGTTGCAAATATAGCTCAGTCAGACAATGTATCATTTGGTTCAGGTTCGGACTATGCTGCACTCCAAACCCCTCTCAGGAAGGCTTCTCCTCAGTCTCAGCCTTATACTGGTAATCATGTTGCTTGTGTTTCTCATTCTACATCACTTGGCACTTGGATATTTGACTCCGGTGCTACCGATCATCTCTGTGGTAATAAGGAACTCTTTACATCTCTTACTTATTCTGATCATTTACCGTCTTTTACCCTTGCGGATGGAACCAAAGCCCCAGTTCGTGGGATGGGACAAGCTCGTCCGACCTCTACCTTGGCCCTGACATCTGTCTATTACATTCCTGGCATCCCTTATAACTTAATTTCTATTAGTAAGTTGATCCACTCCCTCACTTGCACCATTACTTTCTCTAACCATTCTGTTTCTGTGCAGGATCCGGGTACGGGGAAAATGATTGGAGTGGGTCGCGAGTCACGGGGGCTTTATTATCTGGATGTGCCTCATCCTTCAGTAGCATGCTCTCTCACAGAATCTCCACAACTTATCCACAGTCGCCTTGGTCATCCAAGTCTTTCAAAATTGCAGAAAATGGTTCCTCTTTTGTCCGGTCTTCAGTCTTTAGATTGTGTGTCATGTCAACAAGGGAAGCATACACGCTCCTCTTTTGCCAGTCGAGTCAATAAACGAGCTGATGCCCCTTTCTCTCTTGTTCATTCAGATATCTGGGGTCCAAGTCGTACCTTGTCTGTCTTAGGTTTTCGGTATTTCGTTACCTTTATTGATGATTTTTCCCGTTGCACTTGGACCTATTTAATGAAAAATCGTTCCGAGCTATTTTCCATTTATAAAAAGTTTTCTACTGAGATCCATACTCAATTTGGTGTTTCTATTCGTATTCTACGTAGTGATAATGCTAAGGAATATGTTTCTATTGATTTTTCTAATTTCTTGGCAACACAAGGTACTTTACATCAAACTACTTGTCCTCACACTCCACAACAAAATGGGGTGGCTGAACGTAAAAACAGACATCTCATTGAAACTGCCCGTACCCTTCTTATTCATATGCAGGTTCCCCTTCACTTCTGGGCAGATGCTGTACTCATCTCTTGTTTTCTCATCAATCGCATGCCTTCATCTGTGCTCCACAATGACATTCCTCATAATCTATTGCTTCCAGATGTTCCTCTTTATCCTCTAACTCCACATGTCTTTGGTTGTACTTGTTTTGTTCATGATCTCACTCCTGGTAAGGATAAGTTAACATCCAAAGCCTTTCAGTGTATCTTTCTTGGTTATTCTCGTCTTCAAAAGGGTTATCGTTGTTATTCTCCCGACCTTAAGTGTTACTTAGTTTCCGCTGATGTCACTTTTCTTGATCAACAACCCTTTAATTCTATCCCATCTCAGATGTCACAGGTTGATCATGTACTTCCTGTCCCTTTTCTTGACTTGTCTTTGCCAGCTGCAGGTGCTTCTATTCCAGATGAGCAACCTATTGCTTCTATACCTGAGGACCGTCCACTTCTCACCTATCAGCGTCGCAAAACTGTGCCTCCTGTCGACTCGACTCTTGCTGACTCATCGCCCACTGCTGTTGCTTCTTCCTCCGGATCCTTCATCAGAGACTCTTCCCATTGCTCAAAGAAAAGGTACACGTACTACTCGTAACCCTTATCCTCTTTATACCTTTTTGAGTTATGACCGTCTTTCTTCACCTCATTTCACCTTTGTTTCTAGTCTTTCTTCTATTTCTATTCCTAAGACCACAGGTGAAGCACTTTCCCATCCAGGGTGGCGCCAAGCAATGCTTGATGAGATGACTGCACTTCATTCCAATGGCACTTGGGACCTTGTTTCTGCTCCTCCAGAGAAGTCTATAGTTGGTTGTCGCTGGGTTTTTACTGTGAAAGTTGGACCTGATGGCCATATTGATCGTCTCAAGGCACGTTTAGTTGTCAAGGGTTTTACTCAAATCTTTGGCCTTGATTATAGCGATACATTTTCTCCGGTCGCTAAGATGGCGTCAGTCCGCCTCTTTCTTGCCCTTGCTGCTGTTCGTCACTGGCCACTCCTTCAACTTGACATCAAAAATGCCTTTCTTCATGGTGATTTACAAGAAGAAGTTTACATGGAGCAACCACCTGGTTTTGTTGCTCAGGGGGAGTCTGGAAAGGTGTGTCGTCTTCGGAAATCCTTATATGGTCTCAAGCAGTCTCCTCGAGCATGGTTCAGTCGCTTCAGTTCTGTTGTTCAGGCGTTTGGCTTAATCCGCAGTAAAGTTGACCATTCTGTGTTTTATAGGATTACATCTCCTGATAAGTGTATTTATTTGTTAGTCTATGTTGACGACATCATTCTCACCGGAAGTGATCAAGACGGAATTCGTCAGTTAAAACAGCATTTGTTTAGTACATTTCAAACAAAGGACCTTGGGAAGCTGCGTTACTTCTTGGGAATTGAGGTGGCGCAATCCAGACAGGGCATTTCTATCTGTCAAAGGAAATATGCCATGGATATCCTAGAAGAAACTGGTATGTTGGGGAGTAAACCAGTTGATACACCTATGGATCCTAATGTCAAGTTATTGCCCGGACAGGGGGAGCCGTTATCTGATCCTGGACGTTATCGGAGGCTAATTGGGAAGCTCAACTATCTTACTGTGACTAGGCCAGATATTTCTTTCGCTGTTAGTACGGCTAGTCAGTTTCTTGATTCCCCTTGTGATTCACATTGGGATGCTGCTGTGAGGATCCTCCGATACATCAAAGGAGCACCAGGAAAAGGTTTGTTGTATTCAGATCAGGGAAATACAGAAATTTGTGGTTATTCAGATGCTGATTGGGCAGGATCACCCTCGGACAGGCGCTCTACTTTTGGCTATTGTGTCTTCTTTGGAGGAAACTTAATTTCGTGGAAGAGCAAGAAACAACCTGTTGTTGCTCGATCTAGTGCAGAAGCTGAGTATCGTGCAATGGCAAATGCTACCTGTGAGTTAGTCTGATTAAAGCAGTTGATTCAGGAGCTTCATCTTTGTGAATAGAAACAACCCATGACACTCATCTGTGATAGTCAAGCTGCGCTACATATATCCTCTAATTCTGTCTTTCATGAGAGGACCAAACATATAGAGATTGATTGTCACTTCATTCGAGAAAAGATTCAGTCAGGAGAAATCAAGACTGCTTTCGTCAACTCCTCTGATCAACTAGCGGATGTTTTCACTAAAGCTCTTAGAGGTCCTCGGGTTGAATACATTTGTAACAAGCTTGGTGCTCATAATATATACGCACCAGCTTGAGGGGGAGTGTTAGAATATTAGATATGATATGATTAGATATGATTGGATTCTGTCTTATCCGTAAATATTCTGACTGTATTAGGATTAGGTTTGGGCCTTTCACTTAAGCCCATTAGGGTCTCTATATATTGTAACTCTCTGACACATATCAATACACAACATATTATTCTTCTATTATTTTATATTTATATTCAAGTATAACCAACAAAATAACAAGCATGGGATACAGAAATTCTCTTCAACAGTAGTATTTATTAGGGAAGCAAATGGGGTAGCACATAAGAAGCATTAAAAATTCTCTGCAGAATCCTTCCATGCATTAAAAAAAACATAACCAGATATTTCAGTTCACGCACTTGTTCCTTCATTTGAAGCAAAAATATCCATAACTTTAATCATTCAATTTCAAATCCTTGCGATACCTTATAAGAAGGAATCCAAAGCCTCCCAATCTCCCGCAGGAGATGGGCGATCCAGCAACTCCCACACCCCATGAAAAAGACTCATTTAGGAGAGGAAAAAACGGTTTGCTGTTACTCAAATTACATTCCCCTTCCAAAGAACTATTGTAAGATCCTGTAGCTATATCATATAAATTCTTGGTACTGCTTCACAGTTCACAGCAAACAGTGTATTAAGAAAATCAACAACAAGCATACCAAACACCCATACAATTAGGCAAGTGAAAAACAGGTTAAATTTCGATAGTCATCATTAACAGTATAGCAGCATAGTTAATTGACTCAATTAGAAATCATCCAACAGGAAACATCCAGCCTTCAGGGCAATAATATTGATTATTTATCTCTCCCTCCCTCTCTCTCTCTCTCTCTCTCTCTCTCTCTCTCTCTCTCTCTCACACACACACACCCACACACAACACACACAAAAATTAGATTCAAGCTCTGACACGAGAATATTTATTTCTTCCAAGAGTTTTGGTCATGATAGAATGTTAGTAGTAGTTTCTACATGATAATAATGCCAGGCAGCTACTGTTACCAAGTATTTTTTAGGTTACAATGACTAAAGACATAAAAACAGCATATTAGATAGAAATTATTTACCGCTTTTGTCTAAATCTTTCTCTAAGAACTCAAAAAAATTAAGCTACAGAAAGGATAACCTAAAAAACTCAAAGTTAAATAGAATAGAGGAAGACACGCATAAATATGGATCCATAAGAAATATGACAACTCTAAAAGTGCAGAAGCCCATTAGAGAAGGTGGGAAAGTAAGAACACGATTTCCCATACTATCAGGGATGTATTACCAAATACCAAGAATTATTTAAAAGCATATCATCATTGCAATGCAATCAATCAACTAGTATATACAATTTGCAGGTGAAACAAAACTGCAAAGTCAATGATATGAAGGACAGATATCAGCTCAACCACAGAAAAAGAAAGAAAGAAAGAAAATACGTAAAGAAGAAAAGCAAGGTGGGAAAAATCCCTTTTTAGTCCCTAAAAGATACGCCCATTAATAATTTGCTCCCTTACAAGATTAATTTATCAATTTCATCCCTCAAATTCCCAATTTTAGACTCCCTCCATCCAAATAATGAAGGTGAATGATGTGCGAACCAGACTTGATGCAGGACAAAATTATTGAGAATTTGAATTTTGAGGGATCAAACTAATTTGCAACTAAATTTATAATGTGTTTTTCAAGGACTAAATAGGTTTTACTCTAAAGCAACTATATGAAAAAATACTCAATTTCTTATGGAAAACCTCAACAGTATAGTGATTTTATAAATAAGAATACATTCTTCAGAGCATGCAATCAATAAAAAGATGTGAAAGAAAAAATGGAAGATTCCTTTGAACTAGTTTGTATCAGCAATTACTGGTAGGTATAAAAGTTTTATGTCCAAAGATACTGAAAGCACCTCATACTGTTACCGATGAGGAACATATCTGCAATTGAAATCTTGTGATGCATCTGGATTCTGGTGGAAAGCTCTGAAGAGAGAATTCTCAGTTTACCAAGTCAATACTTGAGTCAAATGAATTTTTTCCTTGCCATTGTACAACATTATATTTAAAAAATCTCTAAATCAAGGGGTCAGGGTATAATTTGCCAGTTAATCATGTAAATGCATTTGATTGTTTACAAGCAGAATGAAAGCATGAGTCCAAAGTGGTTAAATATGCTCTCATGTAAAATATAGGCTCATAGAGTTAATGATAACAAACCTGTCCAAGGATCAAATCACGCACATATACACCCATTGTAGTCGTTCGACCATTAGATCCAGGAGAAAATTCCTGAAATACAGCATCATCATTTAAAAAGAATAATAAATTGCAAACATAATGGAGCACTTTTAAATGGTAACCCAAGAATAGGGGACAATTCAAGACAACTGAAACCCAAACAAGTGACTTCTTCCACAGAAAAGGAACATATGGGCACACAATATTATTTGCATAGCTCCATATCTAGCAATGGTATAATCAGTGGTTAGACAAGTGAAAAATAGAATATTGCAAAAAGAAAAATGCATGATATCCAGATTCAAGCACCTTGAACAAAACCTCTTGAAAATAAAATCCAATTTGAGGCATGGGGAAAGTACACGTAAATGGAAGAAGGCAATAATCTATTACTTTTAAGAAAAAATATGATTTTTTAATTTGATTTATCATAATACAGAAAGAAGAAAAAGAATGAAAGCCTAAGAACTTAATAAACGTCATTGCATGAGACTTCCAGAGCTATATAGATCATAACCATATCCTCATACCTCATCATCTTTAACATATGGTTCAAACCAATTCCACAGAGTCTTCGGATCAGCAACATATCTCAGATAGAGAAATCCAACCTATAAACAATATAAGGAATCAATAAAGAGCATATGATAAACAGAAAGGAAGAAAAAATCACCAATAAGAATGTTGGCATACACCTAAAATTTAAAAATGAAGGGGGGAATCATCTATAAGCAACATAACACATCCTCTTTACTCTGATGCAAAGCAGAATATAACCAAACCAACATTTGTCTTATTAAAAAAAAAACCCCGAGAATATAATCAAACCATCCTCGGTTATGCATAGCTATCTCATGCTTGGCAGAGATAACATGTATGTAATGAGATAACAAACAAAAGTACATCGACAACAAGACCTACAATAACAGATGGTCATGCACTAAAATCTGGAAGAATGGTGGCACAAAATTCCATTTTTACCAAAATGAAATTTGAAAAGACATCAAATAGAATAATACAGGATACTTGAAAACAAAATAAGTTCAAGTGAGACCGATCAAAAGATTAATCAAGATGAGGACATAAGGTCATAAGTCACAAAGCTAAAGTTACCACTCAAAATATAAAAGACATGAGTTTTTGACAACACATGAAAACTGAAAGACTAAAAGAGAACTGCCCAACTAAAAGACTAAATATCTGGACATCACCAGGGCACAATCAGAGACAAAAGCCTAAAAACAATTGGAAACGAGCGCAAAACGGAGCAAATAATACACCAGCGAGAAGCCAAGCACCACCCACAAGTGGAAACAGAAGCAGATCGAATAGGAAATAGGAAGCAAGGAAGAGGTTGAACCACCACGCACCCTCTCTCAAACATCACCCACAAGCCACAACTGCTAGCAGCCACAGATTGAAGCCACAGACAGAAGAGGTCGTGGGGCTTGGGATCTTAAAATTTCGGGTGGGCTCAGGTTTAATTGTTCAGAAATGGGTGACTCAGCCAGCATGATAGGATAATCTGATTCTACAGATCCCACAATCAATCACAGCGATCACAGATGATCTCACCAAATCACATTTTTGGCTGTTATTGAGACAGTAGCAGCAAGCAAAAATCATGGAAGAGTATGAACAGGATTTTGACTATCTTGCATTTGACAATTAAACAAAAATCCACCAGCACAGTCAGCTCAGACTCAGTTATGATGATTTTAAGATATATTTTAAACTTGAAACAAAATGGTTAAAAAGATATTCACACACAAACCAAAAAAAATTACAAGCACAGACACATGCAATACACACATCACTATGATTACACAATGCTTTCGCCACTTAAACATAAAACAAGCCAGAAAAGTCCCATATACATTGTCAGGCACCTCTACATACCGCTCTTATGTAAGGAGAATCAGGGTGTTTTAGAAGCCCGTGCATTTGTTTGACAGTGAGCTTCATTGTAAAGAACTTGTAAAGAAGACAGAAAGCAGTTGAAGGACCACGACAATTCCCTGTCATCCACGGTTCAACGTGATCAACTTGATTGTAGATCTCATCAATAACTTCATGGTATGTTTTTAATCGATAGAGCTCCTTGAAGTAATCAGATGACAAAATATTCATGCAAAGGACTTTCTCTAGCAAGGAATCAATTGGCCTGCCAGAAGTCTGTATCTCCATGATGGGTAAAAAATATAATATAGCTCCCACAATTACAATTTCAAAATGTCACCTCCCAGAACGTATATGAAGTCACGATCCCATTCCTACAGCAAAGGAAAAAGCAGAAGTATGAAAATTCAAAACAATAATTACAAGGATGAGATAACAACATAATGGTTCATGGAACCACCAAAAAAGAACAAGCTTTCAGTTACATTTCAAGCACAAGTACACCTACTAAAAGCAGGACAAAACTACTTATTTTAGGAAGAAAGCTAATATGCTGCAAAAATCATATAAAAAAAATAAAGGAAAGTGGAAGCGCATGAAAAAAGGTTATAACACAGTAGCGGAATTTATTTATTTAATTTTTGGCGTAAATTTTACAGAATGCGTTAAAATGAATCCGCTCAGAGAGACCAAATTTATTTAATTATAGCAACAAATAATCAGCTAGTTATTCGAAAACATCTTCAACACACAAATAGAAATCAAATAGAAGAAAGGTGCATGGGCAGAGGCGCGCAGAGAACCCTAGAACAAAACAAAAAGAAATCAAAGATAAAGCAAAGGCCTTTGTCGAGAACTCGAAATTGGTTCCAAATTGAGATTTGGGATTTTCGAAGAAACCAGAGGCAAAAGGTAAGAAAGAAAGCACATAAAAACAAGTTCAAGAAAGGGAAGCACACGCACCAATTGGTAAAAGCTGTGGGTGGAACACAGAAAGAACAAGGTTGGAGCGCGGTGATGAACCCTAGCTTCTGAGGCTCAACAGCTTTGGCAATCGTACAACGCAACCCGCAACGAAAAGATAAAAACAAGAAAGGTGCGCCTTTGTGTTATAACCCGAATCGGACCGGACCGGTTGGCTAAGAGACACTTACTTTTATTTTTTTTTGGTATCATGCAGACACTTACGCGGGTGTATTGGATTAGGATTTTAAAAGAACCTGAAGGGATTGCTTGATGCAGGGATCAAACATTGCCTCAAGCAGTTTCTTGGAAAATCTTTGGGGGCCAAAGGATAAGCCAAAAATCTTCGGTTGGGGGATTAGTCTCGTCCTTTTTCCGGTTACGAAGCTTAGTGCACCCGCTGTTACAATGAGGAGCTAGCCCAAACGGGCAGTACCCCGAGGGCATGGTGCCCAGAGAAGGTTGAATGGGGATACCTCCTGGCAATGTACCAAAAAAAAAAAGAATTTTTTGAGATAAAAAATCCTACAGATTTTAAAAGACAATTTAGAATTGGAGAGACTTTATAGACTTTTTTAAAAGACTTTCTTTACAATCAAGATTTCATAGGATTGGATTTTAAAGAATTTTAATAGAATTCATAAGATTTGAAAGGACAATATGGATTTATAAGATTTTAAAAAACTATATGAATTTTTAGCAAATATTCAAAATTACAAGAGTCAATAAAAACAAATAACAAAGAAATGCAATGGTATTAATAAAAAAAAGTAAACTTAACAACGAGTTGAAAATTATCTCAAAAATTACTAAGCAACAACTCTCCACATATCAATAAAATTTAATATAATTTTCTCAATGAGTTTGAGTTTGATTTCCGAAAATAATAACCATATATCAACGGTTAACTTCCAAGTTAAATATTAATTAATAAGTTTGATTTTTATGAAAATAATAACCATTGATTGACGAAAATCAACGATTAAAATATAGTTGTAAACAAAAATAGGTTGTGAGTATAATATTTCCCATAAAAAAATAACAAAGAAATGCAATGAAATTAAATAAAAAAAAAGTAAAACCTAATATAATTTTCTCAATCCGTAAAACATAATATAATTTTTAACAAACATTCAAAATTACTAAACAATAGCTTTTCACATATCTAATAGGTTGAAAATTATCTAATTTATTTGGTATCAAAGTTATGCATATATGATTATAAGACCCAATTTTTTTTAATTATAAAAATAATTCTAAATTTGCATATAGAACCTAAAGTTCATGATAAAATTTCGTTTGAAATTTTTTGCAATTGATCTTGAAAACTTTGGAATTTTTGTTTTACGTGATGAGAGTTTTCTAACCATAAGTCATATGCATATTTTCATTGAATATTCTAAGAAAATTTTGAATATGAAATTTTGGGTTTAATTACATGAAAGTTTAAAAAAATTCTCAAATTTTTTTCAGTTGATACATTGAAACCTTAAATTGCTTTGGGGCTTTTGAGAAACAAGTTTTTAGTTATCTATTGACACAAAAATTGTTTGAAATCGTTTCCTATAGTGAAGGAATTTCGTTCATGAATGTATTGTTACGAGGGTTCATATTATGAAAGTTTCAATCTTTTTTTAAATTGATATTGCTTCATTTATGTAAAACGAAAATTGGTTTGAGGGTTCTAGTTTTCCTGTTATTTTTTCACTATTTTATGTTGTTTTTAATACAAAAATCACACGTTTTTGTGCCAAGAAAAACCACGACCCATAGCTTGAAAAATCACTTTTTAAACTTTCAAAATTTCTCAAAAATAGCTCAAAAATATGTTATTTTTGAGATAAATTATATTAAAATCTCGTTGGTTTGTTGTTTCTCAGTTGTTTTGTGATAAAAATCGCTCAAAAATATGTTTTTTTTTTTAGTTTTGACGAAACTCCCATGGTGGAACCCAATTTCGAGCAGTCAACCTGCCAAAGGAAGAAGAAAACACTTCAACAGAAGAATCTCATGAAATCCTAAGGGTTGGGGTAAAATTGTGAGAGAGACATCCTATTTATATTTTTCACTAAAAAGTGTCACGAAATCCACACCAATAGAAAATCTATTGAAATCGTCGGATTTTTGAATACCACGAGATTGTGATTGTATTGTTTAAAATTCTGATTGAATACCAACGGATTTTAAATAATCCTTTAAAATCATAATCAAATACCACGTGACTTTTTTTCAATCCATTAAAATCCTAATTGAATACCAACGGATTTTTTTGTCTAAAAACAATCCATTAAAATCCTTTGAAATCTCAATCCAATACACCCCCTTACTTTTATTTATGAAGGAAATAAGATTACATTCAATAACATAAAAAATATTAATACCTTATTTTTAAAATAAGATCACGGATAAACAAATCTTTGGTATATCATATGTATCTAATTTAGTATATCTTTTTTTTTATATTTGGAAAAAATATCATTACTTTGAATTTTTTTTTTCACACCAAATTAAAAAAAAAAATTGGAAAAAAAATATACCCAGTTAAATACATACGATGCACTAAAAATTTATTCTATCGAGAGATGCTATAAAGGACAATATATGATTTTGTTATTTTTTTTTTGTACATATGATTTTGTTATTTTTAATAGAAGCCAAGATAAAAATAATTTAATGATTTAAGAAATAAGTCAATTCTTATAATACAAAACTCCAAAAGAGATACAGTTTCAAGAACGAAAAATTATCATATTTAACCCAATAAGTGTTACTCATATGGTAACAGAGGTTGAATAGAATGAGAAGAGAACCTAAATTTAATTTCTACCAAATACATCTCTGAGGAGAGACGATGAGTTATAACACTAAGTCCTAACTCAAGATACTATGGACCTATTTATTTCAAAAAGATAACTACGATCGATATAAAAAAATATCATATTTAATATTGAGAGAATATAGCTTTTTATTTAATAATAAGAGAATGTTTCCAAATTGGTACCAAGAATCTAAACAAACTCAAAAAGTTAATTAGATTGATTTAAAATATATTTTTAGGAATTAGTATTTATCATATAATAGAAGATGATTTTATCTTCTACACATAAAAATATGTGTTTGGATGAAACTCATTCTTATCTGTATATAGAAAATAATATTGAGAAACATTAATCTCTGCTCTTATTATAGAGAAACGCTATAGTGTGGTACTATATTATAGTTCTTCCAACTAGTGCAGCTGTGTGTTGCATATAGCACCACAAAAAAAGGCACCAACACTTTCTTCAAGAACCTCCTCGCCTATGGTCATGGCACAAGAATGGCAACACCCTCACCCTCTCATCCTCCGCCCCTCTCTGCCCTCCCAACACTCTTCGCCTGAAATCTGGGTTTTCAGTGGGACCGTCGGTTGATAAGAACTACTACGAGCTATTAGGAGAGGTTTTATTTACCCATCTAATTAGTAAAATAAGGAGTGAAATTTGACCAGGTTGTGCTTTATTGTTATTTATTTTCCCGTAAATTTTTAAGCTAAAATTCTGTGTGTAACAACGATGACATTCACATCACATCTCTAATGACTGTGGAGATATATAGTTACACGTTTGGGTTGTATGAGCAATTAATGTGGAGTTTATAAGGCTTTGGACACTCCCACCTTAGTTTTTAGGGTAGTGTATCTTATGGTTCTTTATATGGTATCAAAGCTTCGCCGCCCCCCACTTTCTCTTGTGGCGTTTCTTAGCACAGCTAGGCTGAGCTTGTTGCATTGTTTACTCTTCAAGTCCAATGAGCTCTTGTGTGAGGGGGTGTGTTGAAATATATAATTTCACATTGATTGTATGTGCAACTAATGGATGTGGTGGCAAGCACGATTCAGGAAATTTGTCATCCTATTTTAGAGGAAGAGGAGGGGGAAAATCATGGTTCCTTTAAAGATGCAGAGAATGGAATTTTCCAACTGTACTGTTCTGTTGATTCAGGTGCGTTACAAACTTGAATATAGAATTGGGAAGAGACCTCATTGTTTTCATCCTTATTTGAGAAGAGACCTCATTATTTTCATCATTGACCTGTTTTTGGCATGCATATTATACTGTTTAATCCGACCGGACCGTAACTCTACTGATAAACAGAAAGAAGCCGATGTCATACTTCATGTTTAGCTATTTGTATTTAAGAGTGTATCCACGTGTTAAACAAAAATGGTAAACCCAAAATAGCAAGAATTCATCAAAAGTCTAATACAGTAGTTAACTGCTTTACTTAAAATCTGCAAGTAATCCAATAATGTGCCTTAAAGGAAGGCACATACGAAATGAAGAGAAACTATTTTGAGCATAAATACAAAGGTTAAGGATACGTCCGAAAAGACTCGGAGGAGAAGAGGGGGAGTTCAGTTCACAATTGGAGGAGCATGCAGGATTTTCAAGATTGTCTTATGTCTTGTCATCTTAGTGATCTGGGGCACCAAGGTCCGAGTTTTACTTGGAGAAGAGGTAATCTTTTGGAGAGACTTGATCGTGCTTGTGTAAATCAAAGCTGGAACATGTCATTTTCGAACAGAGTTATCTCTCACCTTCCTTTTTATAACTCTGATCATCGTCCAATCCTTCTTTGGGATGGACAACCAAATTTTAGTAATGGAGGGGCTCGTCCTTTTCGTTTTCTAGCGGCTTGGTTGACTCATAATTCTTTCTCTGATCTAGTGAAGAGGTGCTGGGCAGGTGGTCACAATTGGAAAGCATCTAGTGAAAACTTTTGAGAGAAAGCCACATCCTAGCATAAGGATTGTTACAAGGAGGAGGAGAAGTTAAAAGATAATCTTCATTCTCGCCTCCGTGGAATTGAATATAGCTTAAGTCAACATCCTTGTCATTCTCTGGAGAGGCTGCAGAAAGAGATCTGGCAACAGTTAAATACTATTTATCTTAGAGAAGAGATTACATGGTACCAAAGATCTAGAACTGACTGGATTCGGTTTGGTGACCGTAATACTAAATTCTTTCATTCAGCAACAGTTGCCAGGCGTAGGAGGAATAGGATTGATGCCCTTCAAAATGATGTCGGGGATTGGATTGCTGACCCTTCTCTTCTCATGAGTATGGCAGTGGAATACTATGATAATTTATATAAGGAAGATATTCCTCTCCGGCCTAATTTTCCCATTAGGAACAAATTCCCAGAAATGGAAAGGAGAGTTATGATGGCTCTTGAGAGCTGCCCTAGTAGTCAAGAGATTAAAGGAGTAGTGTTCTCAATGGGGCCTTTTAAAGCGCCTGGTGTTGATGGTCTTCATAGCATATTTTTTCAAAGCCAATGGGATGTAGTGGAGAGCTCTGTTTGTAATTTCATTAAGGGAGTCTTCAATGATCCTAGTCGTATAGAAGAAGTGAATCAGACTCTTCTTTGCTTGATTCCTAAAGTTGAGAATCCTCATACTTTCAAGGATTTTCGTCCGATTAGCTTGTGTAATGTTATTTATAAAACGGTAACAAAAATTGTTGCTAACCGTTTAAAATTGCAGATGGACAAGCTGGTGATGCCTAATCAGTGCAGTTTTATCAGAGGTAGACAAGGTACGGATAATGTCATAATTGCTCAAGAGCTAATCCATTCAATGAGGAAAAAGAGAGGATCTAAAGGTTGGATGGCGATCAAGGTTGATCTTGAGAAAGCATACGATAGGATCAGTTGGAATTTCCTTCAGGATACCCTATATGATGTAGGGCTTCCTGAAAATTTGATAAGACTAATTATGTTGTGTGTTTCATCTTGCACTATGAATGTTCTTTGGAATGGGGCTTGTACTAAAGAATTTCGGCCAACTAGAGGCTTAAGACAAGGAGATCCTCTTTCTCCTTATCTTTTTGTCCTCTGCATGGAAAGACTAGCCCATCTCATTTCTCAGGCAGTGGATCACAGGAGGTGGAAGCCAGTGAGGATTAATAGGGGAGCTCCACAAATTTCCCACTTATTTTTTGCTGACGATCTCCTTTTGTTTGCATAAGCTTCTCAGGAGCAAGTGTTAATAATTCAACAGGCCTTACATATATTTTGTGATTCATCTGGTCAAAAAGTCAATCATAGTAAGACTAGAGTTTTCTTTTCTCAGAATGTTGGTCATACTCAAGCAAACTATCTTAGTGGGCTTCTTGGTTTTTCTTAGACTGCGGATCTTGGAAGATACTTGGGAATTCCTTTGCATCATAAGCGAGTGGGTCGGTCATCTTTCTCTTATGTTTTGGATCGAATGAATTCTAGAATTGCTGCTTGGAATCATGCCAGTCTATCTCTAGCAGGTCGTGTTACATTATCTAAAGCAGTGTTATTAGCAATCCCATCATATCCAATGCAGGTGTGTTCATTACCGCAAGTCACCTGTGAAGAGATTGATAGGAAGATTCGAAATTTTGTTTGGGGTTCATCTCCACACTCTAGACGTTCTCATCTTGTGGCCTGGAAGCAGATTTGCATGGATAAAAAAAATGGAGGCCTTGGACTGCGGAGTATGAGGGAAATGAACTCAGCATTTATCATGAAGGTTGGGTTCAACCTCGTAGCTCATCCAGATGCCTTGTGGTCAAAGTTCTTACGTGCTAAGTACAATGTGGAGGCAGGCATGACACCAATTATTCATGCTCCAAACAACAGCTCCCAGCTTTGGAAGGGAATTACGCGTCATTGGAATATTATAATGGATCATAGTCGGGTGCAGTTAGGCAATGGTCAGTCCACTATGTTCTGGCTTGATAGCTGGCTGCCCGATTGTGGTCCTTTGATCTCATATGCAGGTTCTCAGTTTTCTATTAGTGATACTCTTCAGAAGGTGGTGGACTACGTGGATGAATTGGGGCAATGGAAATGGAATTCTCTTCGACAATTGCTTCCAGATTCTGTGCTGCATCGATTTATGAATTTTCTTCCTCCTTCTAGTCAAGATGGCAAGGATCATTTAATTTGGAATGGAACGACAGATGGCAAGTTTACTGTTAAGTCAGCATATGCAATATTAGCCATCAAAGATACTACAATCCAACAGTTTCCTTGGGAAAGTGTTTGGAGATGGCAGGGGCCAGAAAGAATTCGCTTTTTTCTTTGGTTAATGGCAGGGGAGAAGCTGATGACTAATGTTTGTAGACTCCGCCGCCATATGGCTCTTTCAGATCTGTGTCATAGATATAATCAGTCTAGTGAAACTATCCTTCATACTATTCGCGACTGTCCACAATCAAAGGAAGTATGGTGCATGATAATGCCTCATATAAATCAGCGTGAATTTTTCAACCTCAACCTGCACAATTGGATCATTTCTAATTTAGACAGCTCAAAGGATTGAGGGATGGGGTCAGACTGGCCTCTTTTATTTGGAATCTTAGCCTGGAAAATTTGGAAATGTAGGAATTCTTGGGTTTTTGAAGGTGATCGCCAGAATGCTTATTCACTTATCCGTTCAGCAATTGGTTTCAGAGATAGTGTCGCTCTTGCAGCTAACCCTGTTTTTGGAGCGGGCAATCAATCAAGGAATCGAATAGAGAGATTGGTTGCTTGGTGTTGTCCTCCTGTGGATTGGGTTAAGCTTAATGTTGATGGTGCATGTGATGCTAATGGTACTAGGACTGGGTGTGGAGGAGTTTTTCGCGATGCCTCAGGAACTTGGATCTTCGGATTCTGTAAAAATTTAGGCTCAGGTACAGTTTTGCATGCTGAGTTATGGGCTTGCTTGGTTGGTTTGGAGCTAGCTTGGGATAGAGGTTTTAGGCAAGTTTGGCTCGAAGGAGATTCTCTTTCAGCTCAACAGCTCATTACAAATGGGTGCCACCATGATTATCCTGCGGCTAATTTGGTGAATCGTATTCGAAATTTGATGCAGCGAGATTGACAGATTTATATGTCTCACATTCACCGTGAAGGAAATAGAGTAGCGGACTTTCTAGCCTCTCATTCTTATGGTTTCTCTTGGATAATTCAGGAATTTGATTGTCCATCGTCAGGTTGTATTGATAGTCTGTATGGTGACACTATAGGTGTTCACTGGTCTAGGCTTTGTGCCTAGTTTCTTTTTGTTGTGTTTTTGTTTTAATTTCCTATTATTTCAAAAAAAAAAAGGATACGTCTGAAAAGATAAAGATTTTCCTAAAAAGTTTTCAGAATAGATTGATCCCAATGAAAGATAAACGCGTCGTTTGATAAGTGGCTTTTGTTAGGATTTCTGGGAAACTGATTTTTTTTAAATTTTAAAATTTCAGATATTATAATAAATTGAATGTAAAAATTATATTTTTGAAAATCGAGATTCTCGGAAAAAAAAATTTCTCCTCTACCAAACACCCAGTAAAATCAATATCATGACAAATGTAATGGGAAAATTGAGTCTATTAGCCAACCAAATTTTATATGTATATGTTATTCGTTTTATAATAATTGTTACTTTAAAATTTTTAATTTGTTTCATATTATTCATTAAGAAGAAATTAAATACTTTTTTTAAATTTTTTATTTGTTTTATTTTTTGGAAATCAACGTGTCTCAAAGTCTGACAGCCCGCACTAATTGAATTTTGGATTTGAGCATTTTCACTCTCCTCACTAATTATTACTCTCAGATATATGCTGCTGGATCAAAAACTATTGGGTTATTATTATCTTTTATTATCTTGGTTAAGTGAAATGAGAGAGCATTAATGAAATAGAATTATAATTTAGTTAAATAAAATTATTCTTAAAATTAAAAGTATTAATAATTTTTTAGTTCTTCTTTAGACAGGTAAAAAGCTTCATTGACCTGCAAGGCATGTTGGACCCTTTTATAAAATAGCTTGCTACATAATTCTTATGGAAAGTCGTAAACATTCTCCCAATCAGTGTTACTCTTCAGAAACCTCAATCACTTAAGATAGTGTTATATCATGTTAATAATAACATTCATTCTACATAATTCTTATGGAAAGTCGTAAACATTCTCCCAATCAGTGTTACTCTTCAGAAACCTCAATCACTTAAGATAGTGTTATATCATGTTAATAATAACATTCATTCTAGTACCTGTCTCAATTTTTGGTCAACACAATAAAAATAAAAATAAGGGAAAAGTTCACCAATGCCCGTGGTTTGTTTCAGAATCATTTATACCCCTGTGGTTTTTTTTCTATCACATATGCTCCTGTGTTTTGTAAAAAATAAGAAACCATAGGGGTATATGTGATAAAAAACATACCCTTTTACAAACCACAGGGGCATATGTGATAAAAAAAAAACCTCAGAGCATGAGTGATTTTGAAGTAAAACAAAGGGGCATGGGTGAACTTTTCCCTAAAAATAAAAATACCCACAATAGAAGCAACGTAGTCTTGAGATGCAGTGAGCTAGAGCCTAGAAATATATTCGTGGCTAACTGAGAAAATTTAGATTCTTTTTGAACCAAATTGAGAAGCAGTGAGCTAGGATTGCGTAGATTAGCATCCAAAAATGAAAAGACGCATCTATCCCCACGGATATCCAGAATGTTCTAGACAACGCAGGATATTTCTTTTTCATTGGCATCTATAGAACACATAAACATCTCTGCTTGTGCGATTTTAGCATCATCGAATATTGTCAGCACAACACGAGCGAGAGAGAGAGAGAGAGAGAGACTCAACATGTTCGGAGTGGTTTTTCCAAACCGAAGCTTCCCAATGGACATCTCAACCTTTGCTCAAATCGACACTTTCCACTGGATCCTCGACATGAACACTTTCGTCGGTAAATATATCAAATTATTTGACTACACCCGCGCACATTAGCATCCTCCGCTTTCAATTTCCCTAAACCTCAACGCTTTCTTCTAACGTGCGCAGGGGAGGCCTATGACCAGGTTCGCGAGCTCTGCATCTTCCTCCTCAACAGCTTCACGCTCCCGCCGGATAAGGCGCTCGCCGTTTACATCCAATCGCCGGGATCTCCCTTCGTCTTCTGCGGCGCCGTCACCCTCGCTCGCCCATCCGCCGTACTCTCACTGCAGTGGCCGGATCCCGGAGGCTCCGGCGGGCAGCTGCAGCTGACGGCGGACGCACAGACGCTGTCGGCGAAAATCGGGGTGTCGGTGGAGGACGTGGCGTCGCTGCCGTCGCTGGATGTGGGGGCGGAGAAGCGGATCGAACGGATGGCGATGAAAGTGGGGGAGAACTTGTTCAACTTCATGCAATCATTTTGCGGCGTGGATGGGTCGAAGTTGGTTGTCCCTATGGATATCTTGGATCGGTGGTTCAAAAAGTTTCAGGAGAGGGCCAAGCGTGACCCTGAATACTTGAAGGGTTTCGCTTTGTAAGTATTTATTTGCTCCAACATTTTTTTTTTTTTTTTATCTCTTTGTGTTAAATTGCGAAAATGATAGAGAAAAGAAAGGCCCATCTTGTGTTGTGATTCTACTCTAAATGTGTCTTTATGGAAAATCATGCTTCAATTCGTGGGTAACCATAGTACTAGAGAGGCAGATACTGTTCCAGTGTTTTTTGATATGAAGTTTAATATATGCTGATGATACTGAATCATGTTCTAGATCTTTCTTAGAAAAATTTCTTTCTTCTTTTTTGAAGTTGATACTACTAAATCTTGTCTATTATGTTTTTTGAAAGCATCTTGATTTGATTGGTGAATGAAAGAATATGAATATGTTATCTAAATCAGGATAAAGAATTGGCTGAATCAAGAGGCAAATGTTGGGGTAATTGTTGTGAGGCTGTTGTAGGATCGGTTAGAGTTTGTAGCATGCTGCAGTGTTAAAGGACGATTTGGTAGAAATAACGTTATAAATCCTCTCAAAATCACCCAGCAGTTCAGAACTAATATTCGTTCTATTTTATTTTTGTTTCATGGGCTTGGACATTTGGCTAAGTTCAATTGAAGTTTTAGGTAGTGTTTGGTTGAAGTTTTTGGTGGAGATGCCCATCTATTTGAGTTTGGGAATTGATGTTGTCTTTGTTTGGTAGAGGGTTTATAAAAATTTGCCCACCAATCTCTTTTGCCTGTTGAAGTTTTCCAACTTGAACATGGTATTTGCATATATAGCTGGGCAAGTGAGTAAAAGGTGACAAAAATGATAACAATACTACCTCTTCTTACCCAATTTTCCCGGTAAAATTTTCAGCAACCAAACAATTTTTTTTTAACTTTCCTACCAAATTCATTTTTCTACCATATTCTTAGTAATTGCATTTACCTAGTGAAAAAAAATATCTCCTCTACCAAACGCCTCTCATGCAATCTTAGGGTAGGTAAGTTTCTGGTTGGTCGTGCCTATAATTCTTTTGGCATCTCACTTAGAAACGGGAACCATGTTATGCAATCTTAATGCCATCTCAATTCTCAGTTAATGGGCGTCTTCTTCATATCCTAATGAATTACGGATATGAGTAGATTGGATCATGGGTCATGGTTGCATATACTTATAATTGAATTTGGTAAAACTTGAATTTGATTACAACCAAACTAGAAACATATGCTTCGAGTTAAGAAGAGACTAAACTTAAAAATCTCAGTGTATTGAGTAGTCCTTATCTTGATTTTTTTTATTATTTATTTTAGGTGAAATTGTCTGCAGATGGTTTTAGATATTATCAATGAAAAAGGTATTAAAATTTTAAGTAATTACTAGATGAAATGTTGAGTGGGTGCTTTTATAAAAAATAAAGAAGTAAAAAAGCTTGGAGGATGATAACCATTGCGGGTAACTGATACCATGGCACACCTTCCCAGGCCATTTGTCTACTTGATCGTTTCAGCTGCATTGTGAAAGAACATAATCCTTCAGCCTGACAAGGATGGCTCAGAAGAAAATTTTGGTTGTGGGATTTTAATGCTTCCTTTTCACGCTTTGATTGATGATGGTTTCTTTTTCGTTTTACTCTAGATATTCTTAATCTTATCATAAAAATATGTAGTAAGGAAAAATATAATGTTAGAGTCCCACATTGATTGTGTAAGCAACTAGTGTGAGATTTATAAGGTCTTGGGCACTCCCACCCTTTGAGCTAGCTTTTGGGGTGGTGATCCCATGGGTCCCTATCATTTGGTGCTTTCATTGAGAGTTGGACCGCGGAAAGGGCTATCTGATAGGTGGGTGAAGCCGCCCAAAAGGGGAAAGGGCTACCACCGGGTCAGAGTGAAAGCCGCCGTGGACGTCGGCCTTAAAGGGGGTGGCAATGTTAGGAGTCCTACATTGATTGTGTAGGCAACTAGTGTGACCTTTATAAGGTTTTGGGTACTCCCACCCTTTGAGGCTAGCTTTTGGGGTGGTGATCTCATGGCTCCCTATCATATACATTGGGTTAAGTATCTCCTGGTTGATGGGTAAAGATTGCAGGTATTTGGTGCACAGATTATATTTTCTTATGGTGTTTCTATTAGGAGTGATTCATGAAGCTTGTGATTGAGAATATGTTGATAATTTAATTCAAATCTCACTCATTCCGCCTTACGACTGTAGTTGCTGTTGGGATGGGGTTAATTTGCATATATTTAATTGTCACCCCTTGGATGTATCATTAACCTGGGGAAATCACAAATTTTGGTATTCCTTTTGCAATTCAATATACATGTTTCCCACAGCAGTTGAGCTCTTGGATGTCCCTTCTGTAATCGAATCATGTAGTGATGTAAACGGATTTGGACTGTCTTACCTTTCCATGGGGGAGGTCCTTCTTGATGAGAAGTATTATTATTTCATTGTGTGTCTTCGTGGAGAGGGTTTCTAGTTGGATAATGCACTAGCTATCAACTACCTGGCTCGAAGACCGAATAACAACAGTTTGGAGTCAACTTAATATGAACAATGCAAGAATATTACTTCATGTTAGATATCAAATCACTAAATTTCAAATTATGTGCTTTCACCAAATTACTTAAGTTTTTGGGATAAAATATTCATGAAACTCTTAACAGTTGGGGGAAAAGAGTACACTGCCTTCGCCCTCCCAATAATCTTGATTTTCTTTTTAATGTCTGAATAATCACATTTTAGCATTGTATTTGCTAATAATTAGTATTGTAATACCTTGGGGTCAACATTAGTTTTATCATGTTACTTTGTCCTCCTTCTTCTTTTTTCTGGGTTATAGGGAAGGAAAAGTTGCAAAAACAGACAGAACAATAGATGCGAATGCAACTTATGTGATGGATATAAATTAGAGCTTTATTAATCTCATGCAATAGGAGAGAACTTTCTTATGCAATAGAGATAATTATGTGTGAGATTCACTCATTATAGAAAAAAAAAAAAAAAAGTAATACGGAAATCGATGTATGTATAGGAGAGAAAAATTCTTTTTCACAACATAAGAGTATATTTTCTCTGTAAATTAATGTTCCTGTTCTAAAAAAAAAATTAACGTTCCTGTCTTGCTTTTCTTTGTGGGCCCCATGTGGATTTGCATGAATGGATAATATGCAATCGCAGGTTCAAATACCATTTGGGCACGGTTGTAGTACTTGAGTAAAGGTCCAGATTGCAGGTCCGTTCCATTCTGTTCCCAATTGAGCTCGTCAAGGTGGATCCATAATTCAAAGTTATTGGGCTAATTCCAAATTTCCAATGGTAGGTCCATTTTACATTGTCACTTGATGTTAGGCCCAAAGGCTCCATTCAGAGTTAATATAGCCAATAGCTGATATGTACCAAAATTTTTGAAGCCCGCGGGATACAAAGGGTTTTCACTTTTGGTTATTCTTATTTGATTAGGTAGACAACAAGGAGAAAAAAAACTCACTTTATACTTGTTCATTTTAAAAAAAAAAAATTAATGGATAAAATTACGTATGGACTCTATAGAAAATGAGTTTATACTTTATATTATTTAGTAAGGTTCATATAAAGGTTTATACGATAATAAAGAGAAAGTAAAAAAAAAAATTAAGAGTATATTACTAATATTTGTTTATAAAATATTAAAAAGACTCCTCACCAAAAAAAGAAAAAGAAAATATAAAAAAGACTGAAAGATCAAGCATTCGGCTTGCAGGTGACACTGTAACGAATGAGCCGTTCCCTTTCCTTTTAGACTGCAGTCACTGCACTCTGCAAATTTTGAATTATTAATTTCACCTATTAAATTTCATTTTTATTCCCATCATTATTTTTCACCTATTAAAGCATGCATAGCATTACGGATTGGACAATGTAACGTTGGGTCATCTTGATGAACTAATGGATTATGGAATGGTCAATATTTGTGATTTTGATTGCATGATAAAGAAGAAAGAAAAAAAGAACGCCAGATCTTGTAGAGACGAGGAAGCGTTGACGAGTTAAAGGGTGAGCCAATAATAAGTGAAAATAGTTGAAATTGATTAGGTGTGTCGTGTGTGAATAGATAGTTATATATTTAATATTTAATTTGAATAAAAAGTAATTATTTAACTGAGATGTGAGTAAAAAAATTAATATTTGTGTTTTTGTAGGGGATACAGAACCTATGAAAGTGAGGATTGTCGAAGACTGAAAAGTTGACCTTCTCTGGTGAGCTACCGTACACCAATGGCAATGGATTACTAGTAAAGGTATATTAGTTACTCACAAAAAAATAAACTCTAATAAATAACTCACGTAATGTTAATGAGTTAATTTTTTCTACTTAGATAACTTTATTCAATGTTCATCGAAACGATGTTATTTTGGGAAGGAAATCATGGTATTTTTATAATTTTAATTTATTTCAGAGTTATAATAGTCTTTATCATTCTAATTTTTTAATTTTTCGACTCCAAAACGACGTCGTTTTGATGAACATTAGACAAAATTATCTAAAGTAACATGATAAACTTTTTTCCCAATGTTAATTATTACATTCTCTTTAACATTCTTTATCAAACATCAATGGTCTCAAATTTGTACGTGACATCAATAGAAACAAGTTATGTAAAACTACGGATCAAACGAGTCAATGTATGTCTGCTTCCATGTTGATATAGCATTACATTCTAATAATATAAAAAGACACCCTATTTTTGTAATTTGAAATTTATCAGAAATTGTCTTAAGAATTGATTAAAGAATTAAACCAGAAATTATTAAATGAAAATAAAAACATTAAATATATTTAAAACCCAAATTTTTTTAAAATATTAAATACTTAAACAATTGTTAATTTTCCAATAGACTACTATATGAACGATAATAAAATTAAGGGTAAAATGGCCACACCAAAAAATAAAATAAAAAATTAAGGGTAAAATGAGCTTTAATTACCACCCTGATTAATAACTTCAGTTTCACTTTTTGCATTAATGTATTTAATTGAGTACATAACATCCTTATTTAATACATCTCATTTTAATTTTTCATCTAATTAGCCGTTAATATTGATGAGTAATCTGCGCATGCTGTAAATTACAAAGGTTCAAGCCAGTATGATTGATCCAGTTTGGATAATCTGTATTAGGGGCTTTTATTAATCGTTTCAAACCTATTCAAACTGTGGTGATCGAATCAAAAAATTGATAATCAAAAATAAAAAAATCAAAAACTGAAAAAAATGCATATTTTAAGTGATTGGATCGATTTTCGGTTTGATTGATGAAAATTGATTCAATGTATTATACATTTATCATTTTCAAAAGATGGTAACTTGAAATCTTATTATTTTGTAGAATTGGGATTTTGAATATTATTGATAGTAAACTATCTTGTTTTAGTTTTTTATTGTCTCCTAATCTATTTTAACTTTTTATGAGTTTTAAGACTTGTTTTAGTTTGAAGATTTAAATTTTTCAGTGATTTGTAACTTTGAATGACTTTATTTTGATATAGCTAGTGAATAATATGATTGAAATTTTAGATTTTTGAAAAAAATCAAAAACTGATTTATTCTAAATCGAATAAAATTGGATTGGATTTTTAAAAATACCCAAATCAAATGGATGAATAAATGATCAAATCGAAAGAATTGAATCAGATGATTTATGTTTCAAAACTAATCCAATTCATACCGTAAATATCCACAATCTGTATGATGCCATGAGTTTGAATCTCAATGTCACTATTGTATAAGAAAAAGAAAATACAAAGTCCCCACTTCTTATATCAAAATCATTTACTCTATTAAAATCTTTTTGCTTGTGTATATATTGGAACAGTGACCAAAGTGCCACTGCTGGCCAAAAAAATTACCAGACTGCCACGTCAACAGTAAATTTTTCCAAAATGCCACGTGGCATATTTCGCTATACTGTGTAGCAAAATATGTGTGCAAATAATTCGCTACACAGTGTAGCGAAATATGCCACGTCAGACTGCTCAGAACCAAAAATGTCATGTGTCAAAATTGAAGAAATTCGCTACATGGGTAGCGAATTTCTACAATTTTGACACGTGACATTTTTTGTTCTGACGTGGCATATTTCGCTACACTGTGTAGCGAATTATTTGCACACATATTTCGCAACATAGTGTAGCGAAATATGCCACGTGACATTTTGACAAAATTTATTGTTGGCGTGGCAATCTGGTAATTTTTTTGGCCAACAATGACAAAATAGTGACTGTTCCGTATATATTCAAGGACGTATCAAGTAAGAAGTGTGGATCAAGCTAATTTTGATTATGCAATTATACATGTTGATCATCCATGTACGTAAGATTAAATAATCAATATTATGATGTCTTTTCAATAAACATATACAAAGTGCAAAATTATTGTGATAATGCCTGAGACGCGTACGTTCCAAGTTGCAACTAAGCATATATATAATATAGTGGCATAGTGCTAAACTCCCAAAAGAAAAAGAAAAAGAAAAATTACGAAAGTGAGAAGGACTGTACAAGTCGATTCCTATATATGAGCCAAAGTCCTAGCTAGTCATAGGCTTCCAATGAGGACCATTTCTTCTAGCCCCCAAAGTCCATTTTAAAACAATATTTGAGGCTGAGTCAACTGCCTTATTCCTTACCCCATTTTTTTTTTTATTCATTGATGTCTCTTCTCCTTTAACCTCGTGGTAGAGGTTCGTCATTATTGGTCTTAAATTTTCCAACAACCTGAGGATGAAGACACCATCAAAGTATGTAGGTATTTATAGATGTATCCCTAATTGGTACAGACCATTAGCAAGGACAAATCTCACTCCATTTAATAACAAGACCCAGCAATATGGAAAGTAATAGGGACTGACAATAGTAAACTTGTTGGCTGAAGCTCTTACGGGAGCCTTGTAATTGTTCCCTCATTATTGTTGAGTTTTGGTCCAGATACTAATTAGAACACCCCTTCTGTTCTCTACCTTCTTGGCAATCATTATTATTTTTAAGTTTTTTATTTTTTGGGTTAATTTTTTTTTTTTTCTAAATTCTTTAAGTATGAGATTAATTTTTGTTTGGAGTATTAAAATTCTTTCTTTTTTTCCTATAAGTTCTTTTCTACAGGTTTGACTCTCTGACATTACAAAAGTTTTTCAATGGTTGAGCTACGTGAGTAATTACTTTTAGGTTATTAGTTTTAAAGTTTGGTTTAAGATCAAGGTTAGTTATTAATTAGTTAAATGACCCATATGGAGAAACTTACTGATCTATTTTTTTTTCTTTTTCTTGATGGGTTTTCTCAATATATAACCTAGTCAAACCTGGCTAACCTGAGGACTGGTCT